TTACTTTTGTGTCACACCTCGTATTATTTTTTCCATTCGGAAGGTAATTTTTGACACTTTCGTCGTTCATTTGCAGCCTTACAGTCAGAATTACAAAAAAAATGTATCAGGTCTTTCTTGTAGAGAATTTTCCATTCTACATTTTTTGTTGGAAACATTTTTTCATCAGATGAGAATTTTTCAAAATAAATGCAAAAAACTCTAAGAAATCACGATTTTCTGCTGTTTTTCCAAAATAGCAACTCAGATATGTCCGACCGCCGATTTTTATGATCATATTCGTATTCAGGAGGCAAAAATACATCAAAAACATGTCCCGAATATTTTTTTTGAGGTGACATAGTAATTGTAAAGTTTTACCGAATAAAATACCAAAGTGTTCGAGATGAATTATAGATTTATCTATTTTGAAAATAAACTGACGAGCGGTACAGTTGGGCTATCGTCGCCCCCTTCCCCGTGTTCCTCAGGTATCACGGGTGGACCGAGTAACTCATCGCCTGGGGGGTGCGGGGAAGCGAGGTCTTATTGTCTTTTGACAATAGGCGTTCAGTTCAACCGTGTCTCGCGACTCACGATAATCGGTTTAAGAGCGATCACTTTCTTTTTCCCCGAATTCTCTTCGGCTCTGCCTTCCGGCCTAATTCCGCCCTTTCCCGTGTATGTGTATTTTTTGTCTGACACAGATTACCGCGGTTAGGGTTATTTTAATCCCGGGAAGCGCGCATCAAAAAATAGTCGAATTACCGGTCAATGGGTTCAACCCGATAAGTTACGGGAAATCCAAGACACAAAGAAAAGAAAAATTAATGAGGAAAACCGCGAATTTAATGAAAAGTAGACATTTGATTATTTCTTTATTAATAATTATAATAAAGCACTATGCTTAATTTGCAAAGAATCTATAAGCGTATTCAAAGAATTTAATTTGAGTCGCAACTACGACACGAAACACAAAAGGGAATATGATAAATTTGAATCTCAATTCAGACAAAATAAAATTGATTCTTTACAAAAATCCTTAGAAGCACAACAAAACGTTTTTAAAAAATGTAAGGAACAAAGTTCAGCATTGGTCAAAACGTCCTTACATATTTCGAAATTAATTGCTAAACATAACAAACCATTTACGGATGAAGAGTTCATTAAAAAATGTATTTTGACTCCTGTTAACGAAATTTGTCCAGAAAAAATTTAAAAATTTGAAGATATTAGTTTGTCTGCACGTACAGTAGTTCGACGTATTGAAAATATATCAACTAATATGTTTAATAAATTAAAAGAAAATTCTTCACAATTTGAGTATTTTTCACTAGTACTTGATAAAATAGACTGTAAAATAAATAATCGGATAAAATACCTGTGACGCTTACAATAATTGTTCAGAAATAAATGAACGGCATATGAAGAGGTATAAAATCGCTAAAATAATGTAAAAGATTGTAAAAATAATGATATTTTTAATAAAAATGATGATTGCCCCTCTTCATAGGAGGTGATGTTAAATTATATATCTAATAAACATTGCAACAAACAACAAATACTCAACTAATCAGTGAGTTTTCCTGACAAATTTCACTTTCCTTCAAGAAACTTTGTCTATTTTTTCAAATTGAGGGTCATTGTTTATTAACCTAGCTGAATCAGTCCCTTTGCCTTTACCCAGGTACCGTTCTCAACGCTGATTATTGCGCGCGTAGCCGCAAATTACGCTGAGCGAATCAAAGAGTGGTTGCTTTCCACTTAAAAAAATTCATGTTTCCGACCTGCCCCCCACTTAAAACTTTTTTCTCATATTCTATACATAATAAAGCATCATTTAAGCAAAAAAAAAGAATCGATTTTTTCAAAATTCTAGAGTGGCGTTACCCCTTAAGTGCGTTTGATTTCGTTGCGTCTAGTATAATTGCGTTCCGTTACGCTGCCGTGCGGTTTGCCGCGTTTCGTCGTGTTCCGTTTGAGTAGTTGCGTTGCGTTTTAGTTAATTTCGTTGCGTCGCGTACCGTTCCGAGAATAGATAATTGAATCAAAGACTGTATCCAACTTAGGAATTGGCATCTACCGTTTTCAGGATTAAAATCTCGCAGATATTGTATCTCGGCCTTCCGCCGAGTATAATACGTCTCAATTAGATTATCGGTACGCTCGGTCACGCTGTACTTCCCTTAGGTTAATTAGATTTCAATAAACATCGTTGTTCCTAACAAATTCCGCTTAATTGAGGTCCCTCATCGATCATCCTGGATTAATCTCTCTCGCCTGCCTCCGCGTCTGGCTCTTTTACCCTTGAAGAATCCCGCCACTCTACCAATCCGTTCGGTTATCTGAGCTACCGAGCTGTTCCGCTGCCGATTCAAGTCTCCCGCGTTTTTCCGAGATTGATATAATCGGTTTTACCGTCGTACTACAGTAGAATTTCGTTTCGCGTTAAAGTTCGGTATCGTAACGCTGAGAAGCGTCTGGTGGCCAAGTACAAAGGAAATTAAAAGCGATATTGAACGGGTTCGAATCGGGCGTCAAAGTGCTACTCGTCCGCGAATCCGCGGAGGTGACCTGGCAGTCGTAGTTGCGTGCGGGCTCGGAAAGTGCCGTTAGAGTATTCTTGCCGCGAAATACCGTGTAGCACTGCATCACGACGTGTCCAACACGTACGTGCATGCTTCTATCTCTGATGGAGGTCTTAGTTTGTTTCCTTGCGTTGGACTGTATCTTACTTAAGACTTAAGCGGGTTCTGTCCCTAGCTCGTGGTGATTGGGGGCCCGACTTAACACCTGGCTCTTATGAGCATTATGAAATTCTCCACTGTCATCGGGGACTAAAACCTACAAATTATGCAACACTGGAAATAACACAAGATATCAAGAAATTCTGGGTCGCGAGGTTACATAGCTCGGTAGATGGAACGGCGCTCGCTTCTTTATCACCCACCCTCTTGCAGCATAGATTGGTCGCGTTGTGAAATCGTTCCCCTTCTGATAGGGACTATTTAAACGTATGTCGTCTGCGGATCAATGCTCTACTTTCGAAATCTAGAACATCGAGAGGTCGCGGATACGACCGCAGCTGTCGTGCTGGTTGCGTTAGAGTGGAGACAACCAATCACATACTACTCGTACAAGCATATCATAGGACGTACTCCGATCGGAGGTGAAGTAGTGAATTTACAAATAACAAACAAGTGAATAAGAGCAGCGGCTCTTCCACGCCAACTTCTGTAACTAAAAGTGAATAAACCAATACCAACAAATAACAAACGAAATTTCGGTAATGGCAACCTCCACGCGACGCGAGCGAAAGTATGGGGTGCAAAGCTATGAGAAGTCGAAACCGAGAAAGCGAGTGTTCGGGTCGATCGTGGAATAAAATAAATAAAATAAAAGTAAAACAAAGGAGCAAGAAATATGATCAAACTCTTAATCCTCTTAAATTTAATGTAGACGATGTTGTCTACTTGCTTAAAGAGCCTAGAACTTCAAAGTTTGATTGCGATTGGTCAGGCCTTTAAAGGATAAATAGGATGTTTAACGATTTAACAGTGGAATTAGAATTAGGAAGGAATAAATTTAAAATAATGCATACTAATAAGCTTAAATTAGCGCATATTAGGTTAGATGATTCTGCTGAGAGTGATTAAAAATCAAGTTAATACAGTATTGATTCGTAATAAGCAACTCGCTCGGGTCTGGCGAGTCGCTTGTTACGAATCAGGTATATTTTCGGCTTGCCTTTGTTCCCGAGCGCGACGACGGTAGCGGTAAACTATAAAGTAATCGGTCGAGCAGCGATGTTATTCATTAGACAAGGACAGAACGTAGCATGCTTTCTCTTTTTAATAGTAGTAAAATTTCGTGAATGGAATAATATACCAGATTCGTAACAAGCAACTGCCCAAACCCGAGTGAGTGGCTTATTACGAATCAATGTAGAATTAAATGAATGAACGACAGAATCGCTATGCATCAGAGAGAGAAAAAAATATATATGTTCTGTCCTCTTTCCACTAAACTGTTCGGTCGTCCGTGAAAATTTATGACTTCTTTGGTTTCACGGACCACTCACTCTTTCTCGGATCTCTTACTCAGCGGCCGACTTCAAACAAAGAAGAGGGGATAGAAATTTGCTTGTTACGAATCACAAAACTGTTGCCTGTTACGAATCAATACTGTATTGTGACGTGGTATTTTATACCCGTCACAAGGAACCTCCTCGAGAGACCGGACAGTCATTGCATTAGGGGCAAATACCGTCTAGAGCAGGGATACGCAATTGGCGGCCCGCGAGGCTCTTCAATCCGGCCCGCGACGTCCAAATTTGACTCGCAGAAAAAAATGAAAACTAAACTAAATTAAACTGAATCCTGAGATTCCGAATACAGAAAAGAGAAAACACACATATCACTTCTAGTGAAGAGGATGAGCCCCCTGACGACTAGCTGCATAGAGCACTTTGCGGCCGCCAAGGTTGCTAATTTGCAGACGGACCAGCCTGTCGGCGGCGCGGTGGGAGTAGTGGTGGGAGGTGTCGGTCGAGCGGCAGCAGGCAGGCAGGCAGTAGGCAGGCAGTAGGCAGCCAGCGCGACACCCCCCACCACTATCCCCACCGCACCGCCGATGACTGCATGCGTCTGCGAGTGTTTGGCAATCTTGCTCTGCACAGCTAGCCGTCAAGCGACTTATCTTTACCACTGTCCTCACTACTATTGACGCCGTATTATTCTGTCCACAATCTGGTATCTTTGACTGCTGCCTTTGTTGCCGAGCCATTGAGTCGGCATATGTTTCTGCACTTTAGTTACAATATCTGGCCTTTATAAATCATTTTTTATTGATAACTAACGTTTCGAGAGAAAATTATTTTCGGTGAAAAAAGGACGTATATATTAAAAATAGTATTAATACTCTTTCAAATTCTCATTTTATAAAAAATCTTTCCGTCTTGCGAGTTGATCTTTTATTTGAAATTCTATCTAGAGTTGATATTTTGTTTCGTCTTTTTTACAATGTCCGAGCCAAAGCGACGAAAAGTCGATTTTGAAAACAGGATATTTCAAGCAAAATGGACTGAAGATTTTTTCTTTATTCTTCCACCTCATAAAAATGCGAAACCAACGTGTCTAATTTGCAACGAAACAGTTGCTGCGTGTAAAGCAGCAAATATAAGTCGTCATTATGAGACTAAACATTTGAAAAAATATGACAAAGATTTTCCAAAGGGTTCTTCACTGAGAATTGAAAAAATTAATATCCTTCGTTCATCATTTGAGCATTCTCAAATAATAATGAAACGCTCAACGTCTGACCAGGAAAAATGCACTGAAGCATCTTTGCGTGTTGCATGGATTTTGGCTAAACATATGGTGGCATTTTCATATTCTGAGGTAGTTAAAGAATGCTTGATACAAGTCTCAAATGCAGTTTTCAATAATAAAAAAGAAATTACTGAAATGTTTAACAAAATTCCATTATCTCGTGATTCTACGATTCGTAAGACCGAAATTTGCGCAAAATCAGTTCGTGAGAGTATATTGGCTGATCTTACTAAAACACAGTTTTTCTCACTTGCGATTGACGAATCTACAGACATATCTGATGTAGCACAAATGGCTGTGTTTGTTCGTTATATTCTTAATAATAATTATAAAGAGGAACTCTTAACATTGTTGCCACTGCATGATCGTACAACTGGTCAAATATTATTTGAATGTTTTCAGGAATTTATGAATAATAATAACCTCTCATACCAAAAAATTCTTTCGGTAGTTACTGATGGTGCACCAGCAATGATTGGGAAAACAAATGGTTTTGTAACACTTTTGAAGCAAATAAATTCTAAAGTCATTTCATTACACTGCATAATTCACCAATCAGTTCTTTGTGCAAAGCTTTCAAATGATTTAAAAAATGTCATGAATACAGTAATGAAAATTATCAATTACTTAAAATCTCACTCAGCATTACAACATCGCTTACTCCGAGCTTTTCTCGAAGAATGTAATTCTGAATACACAGATCTTCTTTTGCATAACGATGTTCGCTGGTTGAGCAAGGGAAATGTACTCAAAAGATTAATAACTTTGCTAAGTGAAATTTCAGATTTTCTCAAAAGTAGAAATACAAAAACGGCTACCGAATATTATGAATTTCTTTGCAATGCAAATAATACTGCTAAATTATGCTTTTTGTGTGATATGTTCTCACATATTAATGACCTGAATTTAGCTTTGCAAGGAAAGGGAAAACTGATTTGTGATATATGGGAAAAAATTAAAGCTTTCCAAAGAAAGTTAAAACTATTTGAAAATGATTTGAATTCTAGAGAGCTGATACATTTTCCGTTATTAAAAGCACATTTTGAAAGCAATGAAAAAATTCCACAATTTAAGGAATACGAGCGCTTTTTGAAAGATATGCAAACTGAATTTGCTTCCCGATTTACAGATTTTGGACAGATTGACGACTTATTAAAAGCAATGCAAAGCCCATTCAGTCTTGAAACAAATGGTAATTGGGTTAATGCAGCAGTGCAACTGTTTACTCTCGAAAAAGCTAAACTGCAACTTGAAATTATTGAATTTCAAGAGAGTAATGTGCTGCGAGAGAAATTTGCCGAAACAGATATTACACAATTTTGGATAGACACACTCCCTGAACAATCTTATCCAAATCTAAAACAAATGGGTACTTTGTTATGTACAATGTTTGGATCCACATATGTTTGTGAAGCAGCATTTTCAAAGATGAACATAATAAAAAATAAATATCGAAATCGAATCACAGATAACCATTTACGCGACTGCATGTTAGTGGCCAATACCACTTACGAACCGAATTTCACAAAACTAAGCCAAGACGGAAAAGCTCACTTTTCACATTAATATTAAAATACATATTAAAAAAAAATAAAAAATAAAAAACAAAAAAATTAAAAAAATAAAAAAAAAAACAAAAAAAATTAAAATTAAAAAAAAAAACAAAAAAAATAAAAAAAAATGGGAATCGATTTTGTCTCACCTCCACGTGGTGATTCCTGGATAATTCAAAGAAGACAAAAATATAGGTTGTAAATTCTTAATTTTACTGTTGTGGCCCGCGATATAACATTCAAATTTTACATTTGGCCCGTCGAAAAATCTAGTTGCGTATCCCTGGTCTAGAGAGAGAACAAAGCGCACATAGTATCGTACGATCGGAATCTGTCGCCGCTTTATTTTGTATGTATCATCGGGTAACGACGTCATCACCAGCGAAGGAACAACGTACACCGAGGGAACGCATCGTTACCTTGCCGCTACACCGCTCGGATCCGGCAATAGATCAAGAGAGGCAGCGGAGTAAGGGGAGGAAGGCCTGCGAGAGAGCGACGTACGCCTAAGGAAGGTTCCGCTACCCTGCCGCTTCCCCGCTGCGGCCCTACGATAGAGGAAAAGAGCGGACCTACGATAGCGGAAGAGAGGTCGCGGAGCAGGAGGAAGTCCTGCCGAAGATGCCTTCGCGAGAAGACGGAGACTTCGGCCTAGGGTGCGGGTGATCACGAGGTGTCCGAAGACCGGCATAACGGCACGCGGTTTAGCATTCTGTATTCGGCATTTGCCCTGTTGTCCTCTTTTTCCGTTATAATCTGAGCTTTCAAATAAGATCTACCGCTGCAGCCCAAAGAACAACTGCCGTATCGGACATCTCGGTAAGCCCCTCACCTTATATCGTTGTAAAGAATTCGAAATCGAGAATAACGTACCGTGGGTTGTCGATCACCGGGCGTGCCAATCACCGGTCGGTTCTGCAAAATGTGGCCGGAGTAAGTAATTCGGTTAAGTAATTGGGGAAATTCCGGAAGTATCGTAAAATAGGAAAATCGCTTCTCGATCTTCCTAAAAGCTACCCTCGGCAGGTCACTGAATCGAACCTGGGAGATTGGCACCGCGTAAACCACAATTTAGTCTCGCGAAAGCCGTTACCAATATTGTGCCCACCCATGTCTCGATTTCAAATTCTCATTGTCGCGGGAGCAGATCGAAAAGTGCATGTTTTGTCGTATCGGACATTTCGTGGTTTGTCGCGCTAGTTCTCGCCTTCTCTCTCTAGACGGTCGTCGATACAGAATCGATTCGTGCGTCAGAATAAGTCGCGCCGCGTTTAGTTAATTGCGTTAGATTCCGTGCGTTTAAAATATTTGCGTTTCGTCGCGTTATATTGCGTTAGGATAATTACGTCGCGTATCATTTCGAAAATCGACGACTGTATCGCGCTTAGGAATTGGCATTTCCCGTTCACGGGACTAGAATCTCGGACATCGGTCATTTGCTAAGCATTAACGAACGAGTTGTGTTAACGCACGAGTTGGCTGTCGGGATACGACATCATACTGTTCATCGCTTAGATTAATTAGGTTTAAATAAACAGTGCTGCTTTTAACAAATACTGCTGAGTCAAGATCTCTTACGAATTATCCCGGGAAATTCTCTCAAATCCGCCTCCGCGTCTAGCCCTCTTACCCTGTAAGAACCCCGCCACTCTACCATTGCGTACGGATACTGAACTACCGAGCCGTTCCGCCGCCGATTCGAGTCTTTCGCGTTTTCCGGGATTGACTTCGCAATATCTCTTTCCCCGTAGAATCGCATCTCGCGTAACGTTCTTTATCGCGACGCGGAAACGCGTCTGGCGCCCAATTAAGAAAGAAATCAAAGCGGTATTGAACAGATTCGAATCGGGCGCCGAAGTGCTACTCGCGAATCCGC